TATATATATATGGGGATTTCTTATTCAGAATTACTGGACTTTTTGAGAGAGAAGCGAAATTCCCTAAGTGTGCCGCATCGGTGTCGCAAGCCGGGGACAGTGGCTGCTCAATCTCATTATGACAGCCGCCTGAACTGAAAGCATTAGGCATTTGGATATGATATTCCACCCATCCGCGTCTATTTATCCACTCTATTACGGTGCAAGAGATCTACTGCATTCAGTTATCCCTCACTCTCTCCACACGCCGCCAATCTCCCGGCCCATATGTCTTAGTTTGCTCTGTTCACTGATCTGTCCATCAGTCCATTTATCTCCCTCAATCTCTCCTTCCATTAATCTGGCCGGCCGGTCGCTGTCCTGCACTCCTCCTCTGCTCCCATCTGTCTGTCAGGACTGTGTAAAGGCCAGAGAAGACAGAGAGATATAGGTTGACTTATGCTTCTGTCATCTCTCACATTTCTCTCTTTAGTGTGCACTCATCTGATTTTCTGCCGTAGTATGAATGGGGATCTCTGGTCAGATTTACAATAGGCTCTTATGCGAAATGAAAATGTCCAGGCAAATAGCAGCAAAGCAACTGTCACAACTGTCAATGTGTTTACTGAGACTAATCTCCACAGAGATTAGATCGACAATTGCAGACGTATAGCTATGAGAGATAGTGTTTGTATACTGAATTAATAGGATTATTAAATTGTCAAGATATAAATGTATTGTTATGCAAATATAAAATGGATGTGATTTATGGGAAATCAGAACCAGTTCTTATATAGAACTGACTGAATATATAATTTTGTTTTTGGAAATGAAGTCTGAAATCAAAAGATTTTCTGATTCCGGAACGAATCTCTTATGAGTCGGTTCTTACTAGTGATTCAAAAACATACGGCGCAATCAGTGCTGTCTAAATTCCAAACAAATGACTCTTATGAATATTTTATTTTTAGGGAATCAAAAACATACAGTGTAACCAAGGTAGTGTGAATTTCTTAGGTTTGGAAATGAGAACCAGTTCTTATTCAGAACTGACTGAATAAATACATTAAAAAAAAAAAAAAAGTTTTTTTATGAAGTCTGAAAACAAATGATTTTCTGATTCCAGAACAAATCTCTAACGAGTCGGTTCTTTGTAGTGAATCAAAAACATACTACTATGGTTTGAATCCCAAACAAATACAGTAACATAAAGCTCAACCAGTGTAGCCTGATTCCTCAACGAATTACTTTCATGAGCTACTTATTCCTAGTGAATCAAAAACATTCAGTGTAATCAATGTAGTCTAAATCCTAAACAAATTACTCTTATGAATCTTTAATTTTTAGGGAATCTAAGGTTGGGTCTTAGGTTGGGAAATGAGAACCAGCTCTTATTCAGAACCGACTGAATAAATTATTATTATTATTATTTTAATATCCTGAAATCAAATTAATCAACAACATACTACACAATTAGTGTAGTTTGATTCCTGAATGAATGACTCATGTAAATTGGTTATTTTTAGTGAATCAAAACATACAGTGTCACCACGGTAATCTGAATCTCAAAGAAATGGCATACAGCTTGACCAGTGTAGTCTGATTTCCGAACAAATTACTTTTATGACTATTAGTTTGATTCACAAACAAATTACTCTTATGAACTATTTCTTCCTAATCAGAAATGTACAGCACAAACAGTGTAGTCAAACAAATGATTCTTAAGAGTTGTTTCTTTTTAGGGAATCAAAAACATACAATCTGACAATGTAGTCTGAATTACAAATAAATTACTCGTATGGGCCATTTCTTTTTAGTGAATCAAAAACATGCAGTGTGACCAGTGTAATCCAAATCTGAATCCTTTATACAGTAAGTGGCACTGTCTGATATGTCAGAGCATGTGTGCTAACAACTAGATAGTAAATCCTCATTGTGAGCCCAGATCGGCTTCTAAAGGGATCTTGAACCCCTTCTAATACTCACATTGTAGGAGTTTAGTATCAATGAGCAGTTCCACAGTCAGTAAGAGCACCACCAAGATGACACAGGCCACCAGGAAACAGTTGAAGCCAGCACTCAGCAAACACACCTGCCACAGCGCTGCTCTCCTCCCGCAGCATGGCTTCAGCCAATTAGACCTGCAGATAAAACAGAGCGACAGAAATAGAAAGATAGAGAAAAGGCACAGAAACATTTCTGAACTACTAAACCACAAATGCAAGAAAACTGGAGTGTACATTCACACATATGGCCAACAACACAGAAGTCAGTCTTTATAGAAATAGAAGTTTACTTCACTTCTATTTCTACTTGTATACAAGTTTATTTATACATACAAGTATACTTTTTCTTTTACATACAAGTTTACTTGTAAAAGTACAAATAAACTTATGTGAAAAGACAAACTTGCATATAAAGGTAAACATATGTACATACAAGTTTGCTTCGATTTGTACATACAAATTTGTCAAGTTACTTTTACATACAAGTTTACTTCGATTTCTACTTGTAAGTTCAAGTTTATTTGTAAACTTTTATGTACAAATTGAAGCAAACTTGTATATAAAAGTAAACTTTAATACATACAAGTTTGGTCATAACAGTTTACTTGTCAAGTTAACTTTTACATACAAGTTTACTTCTATTTCTACTTGTAAATACAAGTTTAGTTATACATACAAATGTACATTTGGTTTTACACAAGTTTACTTTTACTTGCAAAAGTTAAAAAAATATATTTTTTAATAAAATAATTTAAATAAAACAATTTACTTACAAGTTTACTTCAATTTTTACCTGTAAGTACAAGTTTACTTACACATACAAGTGTATTTTTAGTTTTGAATACAGGTTTGATTCTATTTGTTCATAAAAGTTTACTTCATATTTATACACGTTTATTTTTTACATAAGTTTACTTCTATTTCTATAAGTTTACTTATACTTTCTCAGTCAAGTTAACTTCTACATACAAGTTTAGGCTATATCTACAGTACATACAATATAGCACCTACTGTTCTTAAATTACGCTAATAATACAATACTACAATAACCCTAAACTCATGAAATAAAAGATTTAATTAGTATTATCATGAGACGTGTAGATTTTTACACATCTGTCAGTTTGTTCTTTACATATAGCTACTGTATGACTTCAGAAGATTTGGAATACATCACTATACTGTAAGTCATATGGACTACATTAATGGCATCTTCATGGCCTTCATTTTTGGAGCTCATCAGCCCCAGCCCTCACTTTCATTTTATGTAAAGGAGCTGCCAAAAATGTACTTGATTAGTTGCAATTGCTTACAGACTTCAGTTTAATTGTGTTTTTCAAATTTTGTCAGGCAGTAAACCTTTCAGTGGACACTCTTGTGAGTGTGACTCACTTTGATTAATCACATTTTCTCACTATCTCTGTCTCTCTCTCTTTTCCTCGCTCCTCTAAAAGCAGACTAATTGAATTGCCCTGTTGAGGGGTCTTATTCCCTCCTGCTTTTTCTTTGCTCCTTTTACTCTCCCTTCCTGACTCTCATATCATCTACTGCTATTCTACTGCCACAGGCCAATCTCAGATCTGGGGAATGACCTCAGAGGTGGGCTCATCAATTCACATCAAAAACAACATCAATGTGCTCTATCCATTCTATAAGAAACTAGGAATGTTTGGAATAGCATAATACGATACTACTCCAACCAGGCATGCAGTATACAGTATGGATACTGTGCACAGTATGCAGGTTATATGTAAAGACAATTACTAAATTTTTCTGAAGATCAGTATACAACAAGAGTTCATCAAGGTGGTCTATAATACCTGGAGAATGCTATCCGTTAACATGAATACTATCTCATTCACCTCAAAGGCATTAGCTCTATTGTGTTGTAATGAAATACGTGTGATTTATATGTAGCTTGCAAAAAAAATGACCATCAAAGGACGCATATTTGGAACCAACAGCATCTACCTGCAGGAAGAGCATTTTTTGTCGCATACTGCATACTATTTTTTTTACAAAATAGTAGGCAGTATACAGTAGAAGTATGTAAGTACCATTCCAAACATCACCCAGGTTATCACTGTTACAGAGCCAAAACCAGAATCCAGGAATCCATTAAAGTTCCAAACCCTTTTCGACAATTTTGGCACCAAGTACACTCTCTTTTATCTCTTTTTTTTCTTGCTGAAATGTTGGAACTCAAGCATTTGCGCACTATTTTCCAGAATGAGCTCCAAGCCCGTGCTGTGCATCCCGAGCTCCTTCTCATGGGAGCGGATTCTGATCTTGGCAGCATGGGAAAGACCGATCAGTGTGGCCAGACTGACCTCATCCTGTGGCTCTCTGAGTTGCATCCATAGACTCACACAAACACGCGTACAAACATACATACACACACACCATCTGGAGAGTACAGACTCCACTTATCAGACGCAGCCAAAAAGATGATTGCTTAACAGCATGGCCGCGCATTCATTTGATCAGATGGACTATATTCGCATACTTTGGGCTTCGCCCTTGTGCGATTCGAGCAGGAAGGGCAGATCAGACATGGAATCTGTGCTTGGCTGAGCAGCACTGGTGTCTAATAATACCACCTTAGCAATCTGTAACTTTACGCCCTCCTAAAAATGCAAACTCCAAGTCCCCTGATGGCTCAATAAGACTGATCTGTAATCAGCACATATTGCATTTCATTATACAGTAATTTGATAACATTTCATGTTGAGATTACATATTGTTGACCCTTAACATGATTTTGCACAAAAATACATCATTTTACACATACTACATGTGAGTATACTGTAAGTACAATAACAATGTTGTTCTTAAAAGATTTGCACATTTTCTCATGTAAAGTTAGTAAAACTCATCATCACTTGTTGCTAATATCTTCAGAAGTTTCTATGCAGTTGCTAAATTGTTCAGAGTGGTTGCTAAGTTATTCTGGGAGGTTATTAGGGTATTGTTAGGATATTCAGAATGGTTGCAACAGCTAGGCAGTTTCTAAGGTTTTCTAGTGGATGTGACTTATAAATGAGGGACCTCACAAGAAAATGACTGGTTGCTAAGGCATTGCTAGGGGGATGCTAGCTTGTTTTGGGTTGTTGCTAGAGTGTTCAAGTAGGGATAGGCGATTTTTACGGTGTTCTGAGTGGTCACTAAGGAGTTGGTGTGTGTTTGAGTGTGGCTGTGGTATTGTGAGTGGTTGCTAGATGCCTGCTAGGTTGTTTACATTTATATTTAGTCATTTGACAGGTGTTTTTATCCTAAGCAACTTATAAGCAAGGAATGTTACAAGTAACTGGCTGGTTGCTTGGGCACTGACAGGATGCTCTGGATGGTTGCCAAGGTGATGCTTGGTGGTTGCTAGGAAGTTCTGAATAGTTTGCAAGGCATTGCTAGGTTGCTGCTAGGGTGTTCTGGGTGGCATTGCTAGATGGCTGCTGGGGTGTTCTGGATTGTTTGCCAAGGCATTGATAGGTGGCTGCTAGAGTGTTCTGGATGGTTGCCAAGGCATTACTAGATGGTGCTAGGGTGTTTTCTGTTTGCTAGGTTGTATACATTTATATTTAGCCATTTAGACATTTTTATGATACAACACGAGCAATTGGTTGGTTGCTAGGGCACTGCTGCAATGTCCTGGATGGTTGCCAAGGCATTGCTAGGTGGCTGCTAGGGTGTTATAGGTCAGTGGTTCTCAACTATTTGTCCTTTAAGCCCCCCTCTTTACATATAAGAAAACCTGAGCCCTCTAGTACTGTAGCTTGGTGGAGACTGAGACACCGTCGCTGAGCTTTTCATATTTGCCACACCTCTCACAGTTGTTGTGAGAACGCTCGCATCTGTTGCATTTTTAAAAATGTGATTGTTTATGTGATTGGCATGCTGAGAGACCATGTATCAAATCAAAGACATAATTTTCAGCTGGTTCTGATCAGTGGCCGATAGAAGCGCTCCTAGAAATTACATATGGAAAGGTTGTTTGCATCCATATTTGACACTGCCCCCGTAAGCGAGGCGCGGACCCCAGGATGGGAACCGCTGTTCTAGGTTGCTAGGTAGATGTTTACTAATCAAAAGAGTGCACCCCTAGTTCTTTATCATATTCTGGCATCTAGATATGGCCTGGGTCCCTCCTTCAGTGTAAGTGTATGTCTTTCTGGAGCTTAGATGGATGTCTCTCCAAAATCTAATTCAACAATCCAAACAAGCCTAATGACAGAAGGAGAGTGATTATTTGGGATTTACGTGTACTAAATAATGAGGAATAGAAGAATGTACATATGAAGATCTTTCTGCTTCCAGAATTGAGCAGTGAAACACAGCACACTGACTGATTTATCGAGGGGTCCAGGGAGGTTAACACTAACACCAACACTCATAAGGTCAACACTCGAAGAAAATGCACTGTAGCAGATCTGTCTGAGTCTGCCTGCAATAGCTTTTATCGTTCCACATATTTAGGAGGTGACCCTTTAAAATGGGGGTGTGTTTGAAATACAGGGGGTGCATAATAGGTGTATCCGAAATCGCATACTGAGTAGATAGTAACCTCATGACTGTTAAAAAAGTATGTTCTGTATAGTATGAATGTGTGCAGTAAAAATGTAATCCAGAAGTACTACATCCGTCATATTGTCTCTGTCATGTGACTTACATCAGTAGCATAATTTCCCAACTCCTCTCCTGTACCCTAATGGAAGTGCTCAACAGATGCTCACTTCAGAATCTCAGCGGGTCATCCAGGTACTTTTCATCTACTCTTTTACGAATACTGTGAATCTATATATATATATATATATATATATATATATATATATATGGACACACTTTTTTCATGTACACTTTTTTCACCTATTATATTGTAGGGAAGTAGGCATATTTAGATGCAGGAACTGTATCCCAAAATGCTCAAATTGACCTTCTATTTCCAAAAGTGGTCAGTCTCCTTACTGTATACTTTCCATCTGAACACCTGAACATCAGTATCGTTGTGCAGTGAAATAAAGTATATTGCAGTTCTGGATATAACTGCATTAATGTACTAGCAGCAGTCTGGAAGGGCAGTATAAACAAAGCGTGAGACCGTTGGGACCAGGAGCCATGGTGAAACATGACGATGGCTGGAGGTT